CAAAGGTTTCTAAACACAGGGGAGAATTTCCTTCTTCCCTCTAGGACCAGCTGGCAAAGATTTTCTTCAGATACACGTATGACTTAAAAGGAAAGCTCTAGTAAACAAAATGAAACTGAAGCATTAGGTATTAGAGTAACACAGCAAACTGGCCCATCGATGGAATATTATTGCACTCATTCGTTAGAAACTTAATTTTATAATGATACAACAATCATTTCAATAGTTGTACTGCCAAGAGAATACATCAATAGGATCTTAAAATGAAGTGAACAACTAATTCCTCTGACATATTTTATGAAGAAGACTATTCAGCGAAAGAGGGAATAGTAGCAGTCAGTTGGATGTCTACTATGTTTAAACAAGGATCATTTTAAATTTTGCTTATCAGCTACACCATATTGCTGTTGGCTCTCCCACATTATAACCATACCAAGGCAACATAATTTAAAAAATAAATTACAAGTCTTACTTCATTCTGGGATCTAATGCTAGTCCCCTTGGATTTGTTACATTTTTACTAATCAGCACAGTCCTGTGGCTCCCATCAATTTTAGCGACTTCAATTGTTTCCAGAGCATAATCTGTCCAGTAAAGATTACGACCCACCCAATCTACTGCAAGAGTCTCAGTCAAGACGACATTACTATCAAATACCTAAAGACAAAAGCAAATAAACAGTGAATTCTAAAGAAAATAAATGAATGCAAACATGAAAATACAAAAATCTAAAACAAATCGCCCTATGATGAATTGTAGAGATTAGAAAATTTTGTCTTCCCATGTAGCTAGCCACCAGTTTAACAGCAGCATTTTCTGGGAAAAATAAATAAAATTTTGTAGCATTAAATATTCTAAGACACTTCTATTGCTAGATTAGCATGTAGTTTCATTTTGGCTTCAAAAGTCTGAACCATTAAGCAAAAGCTCTATCCATTCACTAAGTTGGCAACCTATGACACTTTATAATGTTTGCATGCCAAGAAAAATATCTTCATTGATTAAGCATCAACAATTACAAAATGACGTAGCAAGGGGCAGAGGAAAGGTAGAGAAACTGAAAGTTCAAAGAACAGATTGAGAAATGTAACTAAATTAAAGTTAAGGAAAGCAATCCCTTAATTCTCTTGCATTTTGTTTCTGCTCTCACCCACTAGAAAAGACTGTAAAGGGAACTCAGAGACATTGGGAAGACTGCATTCCATGACCCGGAATTCACAGTGAAAAATCTGCCTTCAGAGGCTGTACTCTTCTCTAAAACACTCAAATCAGGAGTGGTGAACATCTAGCCCTTTGGATGTAATATGGCCTTGAAGGAGCTGTGAGAGCTCCCCAGGATGAGGGGCCACCTTCTCTCCCTGGTGAATGTAACAGCAAATAGAACGAAGACAGAGAAACTGGTCAGGCGAAAGTCAACAGAAATGTACTTACCACCCTCCTATCTGTTCCATTTGGAAATGCACTCCAGGTTTTACGCTGAATTGCATCAGACCAAAAGATGCGACCAGTAACTGAATCAAAATCCACAGCTATAATGTGAGAACCATCCTGGATGAGTGGGTAGACAGAGTGCACCTGGGAGGTAACATTGTCAGCAATAATTCTGTTCTGACTCGCCACAAGTAACAACAGACTTTCAGATCCTGTCCACGAAAAAAGTGCAAAAATGTCAGGGATTTGGGGCAAAAACACAATTAAAGCATTTCTACGATGTTTGATGAAATACTTTTGGTAACAGAAACAAGATGTTATTCCAAACTCTAGTTGGGGTGGGGGGAGAATCTGAATAAGAATGATTTTAATCACTATTTTTAACCTCTATAGTTAGCTGATTTTCATGAGTACTCAAAATAAACCCTTTTATGTCTTGAATTATACTTCAATACGTATCTAAATGTCAGTCTGGAGTGAACTATACTTACATTCTTCCTTTTCACAGTATTTATTTTTATACCTTGCTTATTTTCCTTCCTAGACTGTAGGCTCTTGACAGCAGTTTTCCCTGAGGCACTCAACTGTGTCACCGAGTTCTAATTAGTTCCCCAAATCCCCTGTTTTCTTTTTCTTTTTAGTAAAAAAACTTGCCACGTTTTGGTGTGGCACATGACAGACTAGCTAGAGACATTGGTCTGCCTCCCAGACTCCAAGTTCTGAACAATAGGGAATGAATAGAAATTAAGTATCAAATTCCAGCAGGTCACATTCCTACAAGAAGCTCTCTTTTCCTTTCTGACTTTTGAGAGAAGGCAAAGACTGGAGAAAGCAATGGATCGTTTGATGGAAGCCACATGATAAGGGTGACACACCAGCTCTATCCCCTGAACTCACGTCCAGACTCCAACTTGTAAAAAAAAGAAAGAAATTTACTATTTGTTTTAGCCTCCTTTATTTGGTTACTTGGAAAGCAGGTGAATATCCTAATAAGTATTAAAATCACTTTCATGTAGTAAAAACTTGAATTTATTAAGCTTTATGTGACGATGCATATATATATATATATATATATATATCATTTTAAGCAATTTAAAAACCATTTTGATATTATTTTAAATTTTAAAAAACTCAGCTTCTACCTATACAGGTGTTTTCACCTCTACTTTACAAAATACACCATGATCTTAATATATATTACCTCACTTCAACCTCCTTTAAGGAGGCTGCATAACCTGTCCAGGATTCAAATCAACCTGACTCCTCATCACTATTGCCAAATGCCTACATGCAACATTTGATCTTAAGCTCCAAAGTGTTCTATTAAACTTGCTGGGGTTAGTTCACTTTCAAGTTCAACAATTACCTGTAACTTTGCAAGTCTTCCCGTCACCTTCTAGCATGTACTCATTATCACACGAGCATCGGAAAGAACCTCTCATATTGTAACAGTGCTGGCTACAAAAGCCTGGAATATCACATTCATTTATGTCTTCACAGGTCTTAGAATCATTGGCAAGTAAGTATCCCGGTGGACATAAGCATCTAGCCCCAAAGGAGTCTTGAATACACCTATGAGTACAACCACCATTGAAACGTGAACAGAGGTCCTCGTCTAGAAAAAAGAAAGGAAATTATGAAAAGAAAAAGTGTCTTCACTGCTTTGATTCACTCTGATGTAACATTTCTCACGTGGACTCATGCCACCTTGCAATGTGATGCCTGGATGAGTTAAGAGTAGTGTTCACTTGGTTGAGTTGCACAGGCTGCTCAACTTCTGCTCACACTGGCCTGAAGATTTTGTATCCTTCATATCAAATGGCCCACCTTCTTCATTACAACCAACTAGTAAAACTCCATTCAGTGCAATGAGGAAACTAAAATTGTCATTGACAAAGCATGCGAATAGACCTAACATAATTCTCACTTGTTTCCTTTGAAATTCTTGAAAGATACAACAAACTTTTAAGAGAAAAAAGCAAAAGATCTATGAAAATGAATAAAGGGGAAAAGGTGACTAGAACATTAGAATGCACAGATTCTGTAAGCTACCATCATACCTTACTTTCAGAGCAAAATTAGCAATGCCTAACGCCACCCAAAGACAGTTTATATATCTGGGGAGGAAAATACCCTCTATTTCCATGCGTACCCTAACTTATTTGTAAGAGTCACAATACAGAATATGCACTAGAAGGAGAAGTGAGCCAAAATTTTAGGACATTTTTAGAACAAACATATCACATATAAAATCATAAGAATCTAAAATATTTCACAATCATACCTGGCTGAGGTTCATCTGAGAGTGAGCATTGATTAAAGAGGAAAGAAAGAAAGGACAGCAATTAGAATTACATGCCAATCACAGCATTTTAATCACAGCAAACACAAATTTCCGGACTTCATTTGTTTTGTGGCAAGTTCTGATTGAAATTAGAAAATATTAATGTTAGAAAAATTAATGAGCACACTACCAACAGAACTGAATTTAATCTGACAATCTAATGGCATCATTTAGTCTTATTTTTCTAAACAATGTCATAAAAAGAACTAAAAAACATATGATCAAGTGCAAAGAATTTAATGAGAAATATTATCCAGGGGTGATTTATTTGAGTTCAATGATGGTTACCCCTACAGAGATTTGAATGCATAGAGAAACTGAAATTCCTTCCTAAAAAACTATACAGTGACTATGACACTGGTGGTACATACCAGGGTACTGCTCAAAACGAGTTTATGGCCAGTTAGCTACGGTCAGGAAACTTACTGCAAAGTGGGGACTCATCTGTCCCACTGGGGCAATCAAAGACGTTGTCACATACTGATTCCAGTTTCACACAGAAGTTATATCCAGGACACTGCCACATCCCCCTGGGACACTGAAAGGGCTGAGTAGGGCAATTCCTCTCATCACTCTGATCCCCGCAGTCATTGTCCTCATCACAGAGCCACTCCCTGGAGATACAGTTTCCATTGTCACAGCGGAAATGAGATGAATGGCAGGTCTTGGGGACACAGCCATGGTGCTCATCAGACCCAGAGAGGCAGTCTGGATGCCCATCACACTCCCAGGTTTTAGGGATGCAAATACCGTCTTCTTGGCACTGAAATTCATTTGAGTGGCACATACCAGGAGGTCTGGTTGCTAGAAGAAAAACATGGGGAAAGTGAGCTTATGAATGCAATTCACAATCTCTTTCATGGTCTAGAGTCAGCGGAAATGACTTTGGATCAATAATAGGTTTATAATTATAACGGACAATATTGAAGGCTAAAATAAAATAGGGTCTTCTCCCATAGTGTGGTACATAGAACTATTTCTTCTACATGGCAAACTAGTGCATCTGGTAACAAACTGAGTACAAGATGCACAACTCTTGACCTAGCTCCTGGTCAAAGAATAATCTTTTTCTAATGTTTATCCAACTGTAGATTCAATCATGAAATTTATTCATCTCTCTCTGAAAGAATCATCAGAGCATTTCAGTTGAGCTTCCATAGCTTTGGTTACTTTGAACTTCGTGTGTTTAATAACACATATTTGGATATTATAAATTTCTCGCCAATGAACTATATCCAACGAAACCAGCACACACTAAGTCAAATAAAGGTGGCAACAAATACTTAATTCTTTTCCAACTTTCCACTATTCATTAAACAGGCTTTGAGAGATGGATAAGAATTGCTTCCCTTCCTCACAAGGGCAAACCCAACCTTCCTCCCAAGGACCTCATGAGGCACAGCAAGTCAGAGGCAACTGGCAGTTTAACCTTACATTGTCACAGAATTCCCATTTTCAATATGAAACAGAAAAATTAGTAATTAGGAATTTGGGGTTTTGTGTAAACTATAAATTATGTAGGCATTTTATTTATCTTTAGAATCTGTGTATTTGCACACTTGCTTTCTGATTCAGGAGAAGAATTAATGAAAACCTACTTTTCATGGTCTGAAACACTATCATTCAAACAAATGACCAATTCACTGATAACTTTTTACAAATCTAAAATCTATTTAACACAAGAATTGGGCAAGAACAAACCATGTGATTACAGGCCTGTGAAGATTACAGGTCCGTCAGATTTATACTGTATGAAGTCCTACTTGAATCCTCCAACTACAAAGACATTTCTTTTCTCTGAAACTCCACAGAGTTTTATCTGTACTATTTCTAAGACTCTTGTAATTGTCTATTTTGTTTTAATTATCTCTTGCCTTCTATAACTTTTTTTTTCTTAATTGAGACAGAGTCTCACTTTGTTACCCTCCATAGAGTGCTGTGGCATCACAGCTCACAGCAACCTCAAACTCTTGGGTTTACGCGATTCTCTTGCCTTAGCCTCCCAAGTAGCTAGGACTACAGGCACCTGCCACAATGCCTGGATATTTTTTGGTTGCAGTTGTCATTGTTGTTTAGCAGCCCAGGGCAGGCTTGAACGCACCAGCCTTGGTGTATGTCGCTGGCACCCTACTCACTGAGCCAGACAGAATGCCTTCTATAACTTTTCTTACCAGACTCTAAGGACAAAGGCCATATAGAACATCTTAGCTCAACACAGTAGCTCCAAGAATGAATTCTTTGGCGTTAATACCAAATATAGCTCTGTACCATTTCTATACCATGGTTTGACGTATTGAGATTTTTTTAAAACTGTATATAAAGCCTCACAAGTTTAAACTCCCTAATTTGGGATGTTCTAGCAAAAATTAAAATTGAGAACAAATTAAAATTAAAAGTGAGAACAAAAATATCTAAGACATAGCCTAGACAGCCACTTGATTTACTAATTATTCATAATAATTTGGCAATGTTTACTCAGTTTTATTGTATGTAGTATGTGTAGGTTAGAGGAAATTTGTGGCAATATCAGTACTGGTAAAAATGACATAACCTCTTTGTCTGGAATACGCCGGGGATGTGGTACTTACGACAGCCTGCCTCATCAGAGTTGTCACTGCAGTCAAACACACCATCACAGTGATTTGTGATAGGAATGCATTTCTCCTCACTGACACACTTGAATTGAGAAGCCGTGCAGTTTAATACTAAGAAGGAAGCACAAAAGCATAAGAAATTAGCACATGGAGAAAATGACTAAATACTGAGATTTTTCTAAACATCATGAATGAAAATAAAGCAATGCACTCACCACAGCCAAACTCATCCGATCCATCAGCACAGTCCTTATCCCCATCACAGACAAAAGATAAGTCAATACAACGATGGTTGGGGCAAGTGAACTGACTGGGTTGGCACATCTCTGTCGACGCTAATGCCATCCGAAAATAAAACCACACAAACTTATTTCTCGTTCAACGTGTGCCAAGAACCAAACTGAAAAAAGCTAAGTATCTACATACATTATCTCAGTTGTACATGGGTTCAAAAAATTCTTTCAAATCAGCTACATTATCAAAGCCCAGGAATACAATAAAGCTAGGATAGTTTTGAAAGAAAACAGGGCAAAGTCAGAAACTATGATTACACCTTGAAAAATAAGTCACATTCAGAAAATGAAGATCATGTGTTTGGATTAGGACTACATCTCTTGAATACCATCAGGTCCCTGACTCCAGACAAAAGCCAAGCAATGGAGCCCAGTTAGGCAGCACAGTTGGCACGACCCACGTGCCTGGTAGCAACAGCATGTAGACAGATCATGAAGGTTGGATTTAATCCAAAGTCTAAACACAACATCTCTAAAAACCATGGTCCTACCTCGCTATGAAGACCACAGCTTTGGAGTCAGATGTGCCAGCTGCCACATCCACAACATGAAATTAGATTAATTAGGACTTATAAAATATAAATGATAGAAGAACTCGTAGAAGAGATATTAAAGATCATCTATTCCTGAAAGAAGTGATTTGCCTAGTCATTCAACCAGGGGCTAGAACTTATTAGTCCAGGGTACTTTGCTCCTCCTGGTAAAAACTAGTATTGACTATTGAATACATGAAAATAAACCTAAAGGAAATCAGTATTGGTGGCAAGATGTAAAGCAGGTGGGTAAAATCAGTGGAAATTTTAGTTTTCTGTTCCACGTTTGCCTGCACAAACAAAAAGGAAAACCAACTGCCAAGCATCTGAATATTTTTCTATATTTATGTTAAAAAATTGTTTAAAGTCTCTGAAGAGATTATCAAGGTATTTTTCTTTTCTCAGTTTCTATCTGGATGTTTGGCATCTGCTTCCACAGAACTCAATACCTGTATGTGCAGGAGGGCTCTAAGAGTTCCATGTGCAGGCATATGCCTTAGTTCTTATAGCCTATTGAGACAGACATTGACAGACAGCTAAGAAGAGCCTAAGATGCAATGAGAATTGAGTGAGCCTTGGAGGAAAGAGTATAAGGCCATTTGCTTATTCAAATCTATTCATAGGTTGATCAACAAAGAGACATCAGTTCAAAACTTACTGCAGTTCTTCTCATCAGATCCATCCCCACAATCATTATCTGTGTCACAGAGCCAATTCTTTGGGATACAGTTGTGATTATCACAGGTGTACTGGGACTCGGGACAGAGAATGGGTCTTCGGGTGGGGCAGTTCTGCTCATCGCTGCCATCCACACAGTCCTTGTACCTGTCACAGTGCCAGACTTCTGGGATGCACTCTCCTCCATGGGCACAGGCGAACATCATACGTGGACAGGTGTTATCTACGACAGCAATGAACTAGTCACAAAGGCATTTGTTCAGACAACCTTTTCAAGCCTAGTAAAGGCCCAGTTCTCCTTTTTCAATGGGAGCATTATACAAAATAAGGAGAAAAGATGATCAAGTGATGTCATCATCATTATCATTATTGTCTGACATGTATTTAGCATTTATTCTGTATCAAGCACTTTCCTAAATCCTCAAGCAAACATGATTATCCATTCTTTGCAAATAAAGAAACTGAGGTTCTGAGAGATTTAGGTATCTGCCTGAAATTCAAGGTCAGGTAGGATGATTCTTACCATCACATTTTAACTTCTAAACTGTATTTCCAATGACAATTTCAAATCCAAACAATAGAAACCTTGAAAATATTTCATATGAAAATACAAAATATATAAAATATTCAGGTAAAAATGTGTTCTTAGAAACAAGAAGAAAATGTATAAAAAGTTGGATATTTTAGAAATTTCAAAAAAAAATGATCTGTTATTCTTCCTCCTCCACAAAAAGAGATTATTTTTACGATGGTGATCTCTAAAATTTCAACCATCCTTTGTATTTTTAAAAATATTAATGTAATACTTTTGCTTTCTGCAATAACATTTACTAGGCCTCAAACTTGATAGACTATATTATCATCAAAAGAAGAATATAAAAGACTACCATTTCACCCTTAATTTATTTTACTCCAAAAGGGAGAAAAAGGAATCTAACACATGAGATTCAAAGGCTATGATTGTAAGTACCTATTCTGTGCTACTACTTTTTCAGATACTAAAGACTATTTCTAATTCATTTGGACTTTTTGAGGAGCTGGCCAAGATCCAATAAAAAGAAATTTTGTTGAAGATAGTCTAAAGCAGTGGTTCTCAACCTTCTTAATGCTTCAACCCTTTAATACAGTTCCTGTGGGTCATGACCCACAGGTTGAAAACCACTGGTCTAAATCAATGCTAGAAACCATTATGAATCAACTTCATTGCTTAGCTTCCTAAAAGCCTTTCAAGTACATGTTAAAAATCTGAAATTCTGGCAGGGCATGGTGGCTCACACCTGCCTAGCACTCTGGGAGGCTGAAGCAAGACAATCACTTGAGAAGTTTGAGACCAGTCTAAGCAAAAGTGAGACCCCCATCTCTACAAAAAAGAGAAAATTTAGCCAGGCATGGAAGTATGTGCCTGTAGTCCCAAGAGGTTGAGGCAGGACAATGGTTTGAGCGTAGGAATTTGAGGTTGCAGTGAGCTATGATGATGCCACTGCACTCTAGCTGGGGCAGAGTGAGACTCTGCCTCAAAACAGCGAAGAGAAGAGGAGAGAGGAGGGGAGAAGAAAAGGAAAAGGATAAAAAGAAGAAAAAGAAAGAAAGAATCTGAAATTCTAGAAGGTATTTTTCTCAAGTATTAATAAATAACACAAGCTTTCATTTTTTTTTTTAAAACCCACCAATAAAACTCTATTCTATTCATCCCAGGAAATATCCCAGTGCACAGCTACTTACTAGGCAACATACAATGAAGCTCATCACTATTATCATGACAGTCATCAACTCCGTTACAGACTAACACATCGGACAGACATCTGCTATTGTTACATAGGAAGGAAAATTCGCCACATGGCTCCAAGGGTGGCTCACTGCTTTGGTCTCCTTCACACGTCAAGTGATTGGCAGCTAGCTTCATTCCATAGGGGCACCCACACACCCGCTGTAAAGCTGGCACCGGGAAGCAAAAGTGGCTGCAATCACCATTGGGATGGGTGGGTTTATTACAGGAGTTAGAACCTGCAAAAACAAAGCCCCAAGGTAATAAGTTATACACCTTCCCACTAGATTAATCACAGGTTTAATGTGAGAAGGAAAACAAATGGGAAAGAACATTTTTCAAATCCAATACTAAAAAGTAGCTTCCTCTTAGAAATCAATCTGCCAAATACAAAATTCCATTTAGATACAGAAAAGTCCTGAAAAGTGTTTTTCCCAGCAATGCTTTCAGGGTTAGCAGTGCTGAACAGAGATTTAAAATCATGCACTATTAAATGATGTGAGAGAAAGAATATAAAATTCCTATCAGAAGCTATATCAGATAAGAATTAAACAGAAGAAGAGCCACCATATCAAATAAATACATGTGTATACAAAACATGGTAAGTCCACTCACCAGTCTGGACGTTGACATCATATGACTTCAAATTCAGTGCCATAGTGATGCCACTACGGATAACTGTCTTATCTCCACCATCCGTTTTCCTAACTCTAACAATAGCGTTCAGTCTCCAGTCAGTAAAAAATACATACTCTGAGAAGAAACAAGAGTGATTGGTATTTTCAGATGTAACTCATTTATAAATAAATCACTTAGGAAAATTCAATAGGCTTGTAATGCTTCTTGCAAATGGGAGAATCTCCTCCCATCAATATCTACAATAGGTTTCAATAACCATTTTCCATGATGTTGTGAGTCTCTAGAAATGCTCTTTGGAAGTCTGTATTTTAATAATACCAAGGTTCAGGTTCTAGCAAGCACAAATGGAGTTTCATGATGGCAAGTAGGCTTAGTCTTCCATAGGTAGTAATAAAAGCAAGAATCTCAGGATTTTTCTCTACAGCATTAAGACAAGGCCTCATAAGTCTAAGCTCTTATCCCAACTAACCTGTTGAGTGCTCTTGGGAAAATACTTATTAACTGTGTGAAGGAAATAGAATAAATCATCTCTGAGACCCATTCAAGGTCAAACACTCCATAACCTATGTCCTGATGATAACTCAATTTTTTTTAAATACTCAGCTTTCTTATTAAAGTATTGACAAGGAAAAGAACTTTCAGTGTATGTTTGAGGATCATTAAAAATGTCAATGCACGTGAGCTTACACCTACAACCATACTAATGTTCTATGCTGTTCAGAGTGGTGAGAGAGAGACAATGGAAGATTCTAAACACCAGAACTTTAATCATGCTTACTTTACACTAATAACTGAAGCAGGGAAGTAACTAGAAATCCTAATTCATCAGACAATGCTTCAAGTGTCACACACTTATCATTAGACTGATTTTTCTTATCTGTGGTCTAATCAATGACTAATCAATCATTGGATTCACCAAATCCCATCTCTGAGGACTTCAATAAACATTTCTGCCCTGATGTTACAGAGTCAAAAAGATCTAGCTGTTCAGTAACAAGACACATAACTTTTCATGGTGTTGCATAATAAAAGAACTTTGGGAAATGCTGTATTGCATTCAGGGATGTGCATTCAAATTTTTTTTCATGTTGATGAAACCAAAAGGTACCGAAACTACTTGTATTCAATCCCAAAACATTCCAGCGGAAAATTTAACATTCTTATAATGCTTCTATGTGACAGCGAATAACATGTGCCTGACATCATTAGTGAAAAGGGAGTGAATACACGAGGGAGGAGTAAATGTCTATAATAAATTCATCAAAAATATCACAAGAAATACCACACACTCCCCCACCAATAAACAGACAGCAGCACAGAATCTGCAACATCATTACTAACTATTCATTCCACACTCTATGTATGAGTAAATCTTTGATTTATACTCCGTTTCTATGTTTTTTAAAGCACTATGCTAATACTCAAAGTAGATTTCAACCAGGGACACAACCAGCATAAACACAGGGCCTTTGGTAGCCCTATACTCAAAGTAACCCTCCTAACTGGACTAATTATGTTTTGCCAAACACAACCATTTCTTCTCACCCTGTTGGTCTGGCACGTGTATGCAGCACACAGCTATCCAACCACTCAGAGACCCCCACTTTCAAGCCTAAACAAACCACCTATTTCATAGTCAGGCTACATCCTTACTCCTAACAGTTCAAGTCAAAAGCAGCACTGAAGAGGGGAATTGAGAAAAGGAAGAGGAGCACAGACCGCGATCATGTGACTGCAGCTTCCCAGCAATTTTTACTAGTAGCATCAAATTATTTGGAAAGGTTGATAAACAATTATGTCTTGCTGTTCTTTACAAACCATAACCTAACATTTTCCATATAACAAAGATGATGACAGCAATCCAACATTTTGACTAAAAAGCTTCAAAGTAATTACTGAATATATAGTTGATGATTATGCATTATTGTTTTTCCACCCAGGATTCTAATGAAATTCTTGCAAACACCAGAGAACAACAAAATGATACGATAGTTGCTACAAACAGCTCTTGCTATTTTATTCTTGAAAATGAAGGCAGTAATTTACTATATCCTCATGTGATGCTTACATAACTGGGTACACAGGATATTGAATTGCATAATTCATGTAATCAACAAGCACCACACCAATGTAAGTTGTCAATAGTATTATCTAAATATGTCCCAAACAATAACCACATCTAAAAGTGAAATACTCCATTAAAAAATAAAACGTTTCATCTCTGCACCATTTTAATTGTTTTATTTTAAAGTGAGTAGCTTTTCTAGAATGGTAAGAATGCCAAACAAGGATGAGTTTACTCCTGGAACTTGCAACTATGAAAACAACACACATTTTTATTGCTTCAAAACATACCTTTAAAGAGGGTAATTCCAAATGGATGTGTCATCTCCTCTATGTGGCTCAGAATTCTTCTATCTAAACCATTGAAGGTACTGTGCTCAATTTTATCAAAAAAGGCATCTACCCAGTACAGTCGTAAGGCACTAAAACAATGAAATAGTTATCTATTATCCAAAACCAGCAGAGCACCCTAAATTGAAGGCATTCAAAAACTGTAGATTCAGGTAACACATTTACCAAAGGTTTTTATTGGTTTTGTTTTTGTTTTGTTTTGTATTGAGATGGAGTCTCATTTTGTCACCCTCTGTAGAGTGCTGTAGCATCACAGTTCACAAAAACCTCAAACTCTTGAGCTCAAGTGATTCTCTTGCCTCAGCCTCCCAAGTAGCTGGGACCACAGGTGCCCGCCACAACACCTGGCTATTTTTTCTTTAGCAGGCCCAGGCCAGGTTCAAAACCACCAGCCCTGGTGCATATGCCCATCACCCTAAGCTACAGGTCCCTAGCCAATAAACAAAGTTTTAAGAACAATTTATATTAATTAAAAATGTAACAGTGTTATGCCCCCCAGAACGATAAAGCTACTTTTAATTACTTATCTTCAAAAACTTGAAATCTTGTTATCTTTGAGTTAGAAATTTTATTTTTCTCATTGAGAAATCAACAACTTATGAAAAACATTGATAGTCATCTATGTTTACGGTGGCATCTTATTCTCTCCCATCAATTACTTTGGCATTATCATATTTATAAGCTTATTAGCAACTTTATTCCTTTTCCTATAGTCCTAAATAGATTATCAGGTTCTTTAAATATTCTTTAAAAGTTTATATAAGCATTTGTTCATTGACCCCACAGATTTCCTAGACTCAAGAGGCCCCCTGTGAGAAATTACACACAGCCTGCATTTCATCAAATCCATATCCTCCTTCTCATGGGGTTTGAGACCCATAAGAAAAGTTTTCTTAAGTTTTTAACATCTCAATGAGAAAAATAAACTTTCTAACTCAAATATAACAATATTTCAAGTTTTTGAAGACAAGTCATTGAAAGTTCCATTATCAACATGTAACCAACTGTCCTGACTTTCCACTAAATCCAGTCATTCTGCTTCCTTTAGTAATTTCCTCACAATACTCATCAATGCATCAGCCTGAATCCCAGAAGTAGCTGGTCAACTATGTTTATGTTCTTTCTATAATGATAGCATTCAACATCCTTCCCCCATCACCAAATTAATGATTAAAAAATTTCTGAGGGCAAAGCAGTACCAGTTCCCTTTCTCCATCATACAACCCCAACCCGTCCTGTGTGTGCTCTGGCAGTGACAGGAAACTCAAGAATACTGATGGTTCCTACTTACTCCCAGTCGATGGCCAAGCCATTGGGCCAGCCAAGAGTAGTGTTTACTATAGGCAGAAGGTGAGATCCATCACCCCACGCTCTCATAATTTTAGCAGGACGGAACCAATCACTGAAGAATATATACCTAGAAAAAGAGGTAATAGATCAAGGATGTTAATATTAGGGCAAACGACATGACATAGAGAGCCTTAGCACAAACCGATTCTCCAGAGACTGCAATTAATTTCATTTTCTGTGTTTGCTACCGAGCTTAGCAGAATTAGTATAAGTATAATCTAACTCTTAGTTAAAAGTTCAGTTATCAACATGTAACCAAAGTCACAAATACAAATGGCATTACAATGGGCATTCTGAGCAGAGCACCTCGGTCCTAGACTTTAGGGCCTAAAACTATTTTCACCCAACAGATTCTTTGATAAAACACAATTCAGGTTACATTAAAAAATACTGCACGCCTTTTTCTTTCTGGATTAAACATCCAGGATCAATATCATACCAAAGATCTTTTCTTTACATTCTAAGGGGAAAGAAAAAGTATAGGTGGGGAAAGAAAAAGTATAGGTGGGGAAAAAAACCACTTTTTTCTCTTTTATATGGCCCATAAGAATCGAAATTAGTGTTTTCCAAGAAGTAAACTTTCTGAAATGTAATTACTTCATATCACTTTAAATGAAGGAGTCACTGGGAAATAAATTTAACAGCTTTTCAAACCAAATGCCATTGTAAAATAGACTGTTTATCAATAATATCAGTTTTAGGCCATCTACAGCAAACCTACAGCCAATATTGTATTGAACGGAGTTAAATTGAAATCATTTCCACTCAGATCAGGAACAAGGCAAGGGTGCCCATTGTCTCCATTGCTCTTTAACATCGTAATGGAAGTTTTAGC